TAATAAAAGTATACAAAAGAGAGAGTGATCACATGAAAAAATGCTCACCGGGGACCTCTGTGACAATGAACAAAGGTGAAAGAGTTTCCTACTCCACTACACTTTTTTGACCAGAAGCTCCACCCCTCTTCTCAGAGGCCAGAGAGTCCCTTCCCCTGCCCCCAGGAATGATGCGAGGTGGTATCAAATAACCTCCTAGGCATGCCCACACAGATCAGGCTCTACTCCCTCACAGCTGCTGCAAAAAATTACCTCTGTCTTGGCCAGAACCGGGACACTACAATAGTTATATTTTGAGCTGAGAGGCATCTTGCTATTAAGGTTTTTTGAATAGCATTTTGCTAGGAATTTGTTCAGATAATTCTTAAAAGTCCTAATTTATTAAACTCAGCTGCCTTTCCAATAAGCAGATTTCTGTCAGTTTCTTTAATGAACTCTTTAGAGTGAGCTATGCATGACTTAGCTTAATGGATACTTTCCTACTATGTGTTCAATGAAGTTCTTAATCTACTCAAGTAAAGAGAATTCTGAAACTGTTTCAAAGGATCAATTCCCATCTCATGTTGAAAAACACTGAAACATCTTTAGATCACAGTGAACTTCCATAAACATAGAGTAAATAGCAGAGTTTCTTGGAAAACATATATAACTTGTGCACGGAAGGAGTTTACTTAATTACTTACTCCTCTGTTAAAGGAGATATATCAATTCTGGGAGAGCAAAAAAGAATTCATAGGAAGGCTCTTTATTTCCTTTGACTTACAAGAAGTCACTGATCTATTGAAATAACACATTTTAAAATTATGGTTACTGTCTTCTAAGTAAAAAGTTACAAGTGCATCTTTTAAGATTTTTAAAAATCTTTTAACTTTTAATCATTGTGTAAATAAAAAGATGTGCAATAAATTCCATTTTAAGAATCGTTAAAGACATTGAAAAATTTGTGAATAAACAATCTTTTCATCCTCATGCATCAGAAAAAGCAGTTCTAATTATGATGATAACAAGCAAATAGCAAGTATACTCACTTGAATCCCAGCTCCCTCTGGTACTGTGATCTTCCACACACAATTCAGATTGTTGTCATAAGGCTCAGGGTAACCAGGAGACAAAATGGTCCCTTTGCGCTTTGTTAAAATACCACCACAGGGCACTGAAAGGAAATGCATAAGGCAAGAAAAGAAGTACGAAGCTTCAGAAGTGAGAAAAGTTATTATAAAAGATTATACAACGTTCAGCTACCACGGCTGAAAACTTTTTAAATTGATACTACATTAAAAAAACTATATTTGCCTCAGGAAAATAAAATTTTAAATCTCAAAAACCTTCTTGACTAATAAAGAATAAGGAAAAATTAAAATTAAGTCAGTTTCCTACCGGACAGAATCACACTTATATCTCCCTTATTTATCTGACCTTTAACAAAGTGAAATCCATTCCATTATCTCCTAGTAATCTTACAAAAAATAAGGCATTTTTTAGGGGTTAACAATGAAGTTTGAACAGTTTTGTATTGTATTTGTATAAAAGATAGAAGTGTCACAAAAAAGGGTAATGTTCTTTCTTAGTCTTGCTACTTTGTTGTCTAAATAATTAATAACACCAGCCTCAACTTCTTGACTGTTCTCTGCTTGTATGAGTTATTCTATTACAGACTGTGGATCTATTGCATCATTAAAGAATTTGCAAAATCCTTGCAAGACTGCATTCATCACATCCATGTCCATGGATTAATGGAAGTGTTATGCATGAAACAGGACAGACACATTAAGTACCATGAAGTTTCTCTTGTTCAGCTTGAATGCATCTTGTCTAGATCATTAGATGCTCTAACAGGGACAAAGGATATTAAAGCTTAATCTGCATACAGATATTCTGTTGGTATTTTAGAAGTTGAAGGAAAAGATTGATGAGATGGTTTATCAAATCCATTAGTAGCTAATGTATCACTTCTGTGCAACACTACTAAATTCTGAAGGGATTTCAGGAGCTGCAGATACAATATAGAATATAGAAAATGGAAGAATACAACCTATCTTAATAATAAATATTGTAGCCACATTTTGTGTGGCATATAATTGATAGAATCTGTTTGGAACTATACGGATAAATTAAAGGCTAGTGTCATTTAAAGTGTTTGAAAAATTGAACGGACAGAATGATCGAGTCCTGTGTTCAGTTCTGTGCCACTCACTACAAGAAAGATATTGAGATGCTGGAGCAAGTCCAGAGAAGGGTAACAAAGCTGGTGAAGGCTCTAGAGAGCAGGTCCTATGAGGAGGAGCTGAGAGATCCAAGGTTGTTTAGTCTGAAGAAAAGGAGTCTTGGGGAGACTTATCCCTCTCTAAAACTACCAGGAAAGAGGTTGTACCAAGTTGGGGGTCTGCTTCTTTTCCCAGGCAACAAGTGACAGTACGAGAGGAAACGGCCTCAAGCTGTGCCAGGGGAAGTTTAGGTTGAACATCAAGAAGAATTTTTTCATGGAAGGGGTGGCTAAGCATTGGAACGGACCGCCCAGCGAGGTGATGGAGTCACCATCTCAGGAAGTGTTCAAGAAATGAATAGACGTGGCACTTAGTGCTTTGATCTAGTTGACATGGTGGTGTTTGGCAAAGGTTAAACTCAACGATCTTGGAGGTCTTTTCTGAGTTTAATGATTCTATGATTCGATGATTTTATGTTTATTAGCTGTAAGGAAATATTGAAATATTCACTAGAATTAAGGCAATTTAATATGGTCATGTCTACCTCTTCAATTATTAAACTGATTTAGTTTAATGCAATTTTCACCTCATATGCATTCTATTACCTCTATTGGCACAAGGATTCTCATATAGAAGGTGGTCTGTAACCCTTCCTAGTCCAACTTGCTTAGAGGCAGATAGCTTTCTCTTCCATAGATTAAATCATGTGTTAAAATATCAGTAATATATTGTGATCAATGTTCAAAACAATTACTTTAACACTTTGTCAAGTTGTTATATCTGAAAAAACAAATGGAATACATTTCAAGGGAAAAAATAGTACAGTTCTATTGATTAAACTGTAATCCCTGAGAATAAATTAAATACAGCTATATACTTCATCTTCTTATTGATATAGAAATTACAGTTCTCTTCCTGTGGCTGAAACGGTCTAAATAAATAATATTTGTGTATAAAAGCTGTTTAGTCATATTTAATAAATATTGCCCCACTGATACTTAAACTTGATCTTTATCAAGATTTTAGTATTTTGTAGGAAATCTTTTACTTTACTGAAAACCACTGACTCTACCATGCACCATCAGCTGAGTAGCACAGAAGATTAAAAATCAACTGAATGAAAATATGTTCTTTATTTTATTTTATTTTATTTTATTTTCATCTAATTACCTAAAACTCCGTTTATGTACTTCTTAATGCCGGAGTCAACATAATAATGCCTTTTTTGTAATGGGTTACAATAATTTTTGTAAAAAAATTTGTTGTCTATCAAGAAAAGTAAAGTAACTATAACTCATACATATATCTACTGTTTTCGTTGAGAATAGAGTTCTTCAGATGTCTTCATCCTCAAAATTAATAGTTTTCAATGTATTCAATTTGCACAAAATTAATGTATCATGCAGTTAATTAGTGCAACACATAATACAAGTGGAAAAGTTTGATGGTATTGCAAAAACGTTTGTGCAAATGATATCCAAATTTGATTAATTTTTAAACAACAGATTTTTTCCATATCAAAAACCAATCCAAACTCTAATAAAACTTAACATGTAAATATGCCATATTTGCCCTTGACAAAAACCTCTGGAAATTATAATTTTATCTCTTTACTGTAGGGATTTTCATTACTATTACTAGATTTCCACTTGGTGTAAATCAGCTTATAAATGTCAATGGATGTTTATTAATTTAAGAATTTAATTTTGAGATTTTAGTCTTGTATAACTGGAATCAGTTAAAGTATATTTCCTGAAATGTTACTGCTTCTTTCCTGGCAAGTAATGTAATATCAGTGTTGCTATTTCCAAATCTTTACTGTAGAAGTTTCTTTCTAATAACTTGAAATGTCTTACTAGAGATCTACAATGTGAGAGTATCTTAGTCTTGCAAGTCAGGGCACCAACTAATATTTCTGAGTCTTGATTAAAGGACAGCCAGGGACTGTCAGTGATGTTAATATAAGAGAAGCTCTCATATAATTTATAGCAGCAGAGTATGTTCATGAAACCTGTGAAATGTCACAACAAGGTTAGAATTGAAAGGAGAATAAAACTTGTCCTTGAATGAAGAAGAAAGTGAATGAAAGTAAGCAAGAATACTGTACAGATGTCAACGAATAAATACATACAAAAATGGTCTACACTTTAGGCTGTAATTAGTTCTATTAAAAAGCCTTAAGAACTCACCAACACACGTAGGGAGTGAATCATTCCATTGTGCCAGTGCATTTGGTACCGTATCACATCTAATTGCTGTTGAGCCATGGAGGATATAGCCTGGATTGCACTCAAAAAGAACCAATGAACCAACCGCAAATTCATTTCCAATCCTTTTTCCAAATCTTGGTTCAGGCACAGAGCTACACTGTGTTGCACTTGTTCTTGGAACAGCTGCAAATATACAAACAATTGTGGATTCCTAATTTTAGATTTGGTGAAGGAATACAGATTTTGAACCACAAACATTCAAAACTACTAGAAGAAACATTCAATGATTTCCTAGTTAAGAACGTTTTCATAATCCCCAAATGAATCTTCACAATAAAGATTGCATACTTTTGATGTCTGCTTTACTATTTAGAAGAGCATAGCACAGATATCCTTGCCAAGATTAGAAGTAATGCATAATATCCACACCAAAACCTTTCTAAAATGACACTGATAAGAAATATTACCAAGAAACACTCAGCTAATACAGGGTTTCAAAATAACATTTTGAGTCAGATAGATATTTATATTTATACATGTGAATTTCTAAATGTGTATTCTGAGTGTCAGATCAGGACTTAAATGTAATGAAAGAATGGAGTTGCAAGTATTGAGATATAACAATTTTTGTATTTGACATATAAAAAGGCAAATAATATAAATCAAGAAAAGTATCTTAATAACTGTAAGATCACTTTTAACCCACAGGTAATAATATTTACAGCTATTCACATTTAAATTGAGAGATAAACCAGTTTGAACACCCAGATGGATCTAAAATTTGTCAATCAGATTAGCAAACAGAAACAGCAGCTTTGTATGTGCCTTCTTAAATCTGGAACTACTCTTATGCTTATTAAGTAGAAAAAACATGTAGAAATACATGTTTTGTAATATAAAAATACTTAGAACATATTAGAATATGATATATGTAGATCATACAATGATATATTGTTAATAGGTTATTGCTTTCCTCTGCATTCTCAGTCTGTTTCTCTCTGATGATTTACAAATGAATGATGATGAACAGAATAAACGTACACATTTTTCTAGGTTGCCTCACCTTGATAAACAAAATGAAATCCTTTAGCTGTTATTGGTCCAACTGAAGTAAATCTAACTGTTATCTGGTTCCCTGAGCTCAGTGGAAGGGATTCACCTACTCAAACAAAGCAAATATAAAGTTATTATAACCACTTTTTACTAAAGATGAGTTCAAAATACCGGTCAACTTCTTTGCAGCTAGAAATAATACTCCTCAAACCCTGTTCTGCCTCAGTAAACTTTGCAAGATATACGTTTTTTCAACACTTTATGTTGACAGTATTATGTCATTCTAGAAAAGGAGGGGCTAAAACTCCTCTCAGTTACTAGGAATAGCTGATGTTTTTTTTCTTTACCAAACCCAACCAAACATACAAAATCCCAACCAAATAAAAAAAGCAAAAAACCCAAAATACAAAAAACAAACCCCAAGCTCTCTTAATTGTGTCAATATGCAATTAATTTATATGATTTTATTTTGCTATAAATAGCCACTACTTTCCCTTTAAAATATCTAATATCCATTTCAAACTACTCATTAGATAAAAGCCATAAAGGCACAGAGTAGCAAATCCCAAATATCCACAATAAAAGCTAAATAGCTAATCAGAAGAAAAAAAATCTAAAAAAAAAAAGATACAATTGTAATTCATTTTATTATAGTGTTTAGGCTTTTAATTCAACATCTGGATTTCATACATTTGCTTGAGTTGAATCTAAGCAAATACAACAAGCATATTTTTCTTTTTTTTTTTAATACATATCTTTCTAGGTTAAAAAAACAACAACAACAAGTAAACAAAAAAACAAACAACAAAACCCCACTTTAATGACAGTTCTATTAAAGGATACCTGAATGAGATCCTGAGAGAGAGGATAATAAAGATGACTGTAGAGTTGGGCCATCATATACTTCAACCACATCATGGAGCGACGTCTGGAAAAACACAAACTGGCCAAAAACAACTGACCAAATAGAAAGGAAAAGAAGTAAGAGGCACCAATAGCCAAGAAAAAAAACAAAAACAAAACCAAAGCCAAACACAGAGAACAGATTGAGAAAGGGGAAAAAAAAAACAGAGACCAAAATATACATTAATATATTGTTTAAAAAATTATTAAATCAGCAGTACTTGTGCTGAATATTAGTTATTTTCCATACCATTACAGTAGTAAAAGGATAAAACTATATATAAAAGAGACAACGGAGGTACACAAGCCATACATGTACATATAATTGTTAAAAGATTCTAATAATAAGGGAACAAAACGATTTTGCTCCTGTTGAATATATCTTCTCATTCTGTGCTCTCCCCCATCCAACACATCTAAATTCTCAGTGCAATGTTCTTTATAATCCAGGTATATTATTATATATTGTGCATTTTTAATTACTTTGTTGATAAGTCTATGTAATTTTTACTTACCCTAGAAAGTTTAATTTTTCTTAAGAATATTAACATTCAATGCATTTTTACCTTTGTGAAATAAACGAGTAACTGATTCAAGGTAACAAACACTTTTCAGAACATATCTATTGAATGACAAATAATACTATTTTTAAAGTCACAGTAATAAAACAACTCGATTCAAGACTTATTTTTGCACTTAAGTTCAAAGGTTTGTGCAGCACATTCACATCATAGGTGTTTTCATTTTCAACATAAGTAAACAGTGAAAAGAAAAAGAATTGCTTGCGTTAGTTCTGACCCCAGTACTTCGAAAACATTTATATCTACATCACTGGCAATGGAGGGAAAAATTTTGTAAGGACTACACATGTCTAAAGGTGGAAGTGGTGAGATAGTTTAGGTACAGGAACACCTATAAAGAATCAGTTCTGGTTCATTATACAGGTTAGACATTTTGGGATAAATATTTCAATGCCTTGCTACTAGATTATATTTGTTTTACTAGATTATATTTGTCTTCATCTGGTATATTTAATTACAAAAGATGAAGCTATCAATTACAATTCTTTCAATTTATACACCCTTAGACCTTTAAAAACAGTATATTAAAACTGCATTGCTTTCAAATTGCTGACTTTTCATTTTGGGGGTTTTTTTTCCACTAATTTTTTTAAAAAGGCAGTTCCAATTTCCTAACTCATCATCTTACTACATACTCTTTTCAATTTTTAAAAGAAAACCAAGAAAAGCTCTTTTTGAAGAAAAAGACTAGACGTTACATTTGTAAAAGGTTCCAACAAAAGTGTTTCTGAGACACTTTGGAAGATTTTTGTGCATTTTTAACAGGAAACGAAAGTGAGATATCAAATTATATTCCTTATTTTTTCTCCATCTCCAGAAAATTAATAATTGATGTTTTTAATAGCTCTGCTTGTTTTCAAAATAATATTTAGCTGGATTCAGGTCTTCTCCTTGGTGTTGCTAAAGACAACTAACAAAATTTTTAATCCAACCAAGAATTTCTCTCAGATTTTTACTTGTATCAAATCTTATTTTCATACTCAATGAATTCCATTTTGCCATTGAACCAAGTAAAGTTCCTTGAGACTTCCATTGTTGTTTCCCATTTTGAATCAAGTTTCAAACTATGTACAGAAAATTCAGGCAAGTGCTGAGGTATACATAACAAGCACATGTAACTGTTATCAAGGGTTGTATCCTGGGAAAACTGTAAAAATAGAATTGATAAGCTATATTTGTATTTTAATGAATTATTACAAAATATTTACACGGCAATTATACCATATAGTGAGTCAAATTCAAAGGCTATGTTTGATAAGTATTTCAAGACTGTTTTTGCTTCCAGCTTTGCCTTGCAGCTTTTACTATCTAAAAGTATAACACTGAAGAAAGTGAATTAACACGTTACTTAAAACTGTGGTAACTGTTTTTTCAATATCAGTTATGAATTTCTTGATAAAATACAGAAAAAAATATGAGAAAGTAACCAAAAGTTTTCATTGACTTAAGGTAAAATATATTAAGAAGAAATTTGAGATGATTAGTGTGGCTGAGACATCAAAAGAACTGACAAAGAGGACCTAGTGGCAGGATGTGTTTGATATGAAACAGTTGAAAGCTCAAGTTAGGGTTTTTGAGCCCACAGTTTTATGATCAATATAAGTTTAAGTGAATCAAGCTGCTGCTTCAAGTCAAGAAGGAATACAGTCTAGCCAGTAGGGGAGACAGAATTTAGATTCTGTTCCTTCCTCTTTCTGTGCCAGGATACTGACTGTATCAATTAAACTGTGGAATACTGTAATGTGTAGTGACCAACACCTGACTAGCTCAGATTACATCACAAGAGAAATTCTGATCATTACAGAATCACAGAATATGCTGAGTTGGAAGGAACACACAAGGATCATTGGGTCCAACTTCTGGCCTGGCACAGGACTATCCTCAAGAGTCACATCATGTGCCCAAGAGTATTGTTCAAGCACCTCTTGAACTCTGTCAGGTTTGGTGCTGTGACCACTTCCCTGGAAGCCTGTTTCAGCACCCAACCACCCTCTGGGTGAAGAACCTCTTTCTAATATCCAGCCTAAACCTGGTGATTACTTTCAATCATCTTGACCATCTCCAATATTTGGAGAAGGTGACCAGGACTATTTGCTCTATCACTTTCCCAGGTACAGAGGTGAGACCAACTGGTTTAGAGTTCCCCTGATCCTTCTCCTTGCTGTTCTTGAGGATAGGAATGATGTTTGTCTTCTTATAGCCTCAGAAAGCTTCCTCAGCTGTCATGACCTTTCAAAGGTCCTCTCGTGCATCCCATCATGTCCCATGCATTTGTGTTTTTCCAGTTTGTTTAAGTGTTCCCTCACCTAGTCCTCCATCAAATCATTCTTTCTCTATAACTTTTCTACTGGACTCAGGGTTCAAGATTGTTTTACTGGTAAAAACTGTGGTTAGGAAGGAATCTATTAATTCACTTTTCTCTGCATCCCTTTTCATCAGAGACTCCATCCCATTCAAGAATAGACCCCTATCTTCCCTACTTTTCCTTTTGTTGCTGATATCTACAGAAGCCTTTCACGTTTCTTTCCAGTTTCAACTCTAGATGGGTTTCGGCTTTCCTAACCCCACCTTTTTAAGCATTTTTATTTCTCCCAGGACATGGGACCTTGCTTCAACCTCTTAAACACTTTTTCTTTTTTTTGCTTACCTATGATTTTTTTTCTTTTTTTGCTTACCTATGATTTTTTTTCTTTTTTTGCTACCTTTCCCACCTTTGCTTGATATCCTGATCATTGGGATAGACCATTCATGATCTTAAAGTGGTGATCCCTGAAAATTAACTGTATTTCCTGGGCTTCTCATCTTTTCAGGGCCTTATATAGTCAGATTCTTCCAAAAGAGGTCCCTGAATTCCTTTCACTTCTGACCCAGTAAGTAATTAAACTCAACTCAAAATTCAAATCTTTACAGATAGAATATAATCCTCATTAACACTGGTACTGATCAAGTAGTATATACCTAGGTAAAATATATTTATTTTATATATTAGGCCAGCTATTGTTTCTAAAGAAATACTCTGATTAATTTACATGGATATCAATAGAATTAGATCATAATATAATTCTTCACCTTGAGGTTCCTATTTTTAGGGATATTTTGTATGCCTAATCATTTATTGAACTCAGAAAGCTCTAGTGTAAAATCAAGTACAATTACTGATGTAATTCACTTGCCTTTAAGATAATACCAGAAGAACTAACACAGATTAAACATTGTTATTACATAAACTGAAATATGCATTTTGTACAAGCCCTCCTGGTGAAGCTCCTGATATTTGCTTCAAGGCTGAATCAGCATTTATAATGACATTTATATTAATAAGTCTTTTCTACTATGTCTAAAATAGGTTTCTTCTAACAGTAAATAAAAATTAAAGGTGTTCAGGTGTCTAACAGTTGTGATATACACATAGGTCTAATTATAGAGCTAGAGGACTTCCTCAGAATTTGAAGTTACTCTGCAGAAGCTAACTTCTCACAGTTTCAAACATAATTTCTGTCATCAATATAAATAACCTTTACAAATGAGAGTTTTGTTCACAACAGCATGAAAACTTTATTTCACAGTAAAAAAAACCCCAACATCTGCCTCTACTGATAGCTCCATCAGCTCCACTGATGATACCCTCTCTTTGCTTATGATTTAACTGTGATTTTTTTTTTCTATGAAGTCCTATAAAGGAATTAGAATACCATATTTAATTCTTTCTTTTGAGAAAAAAAAGAGAGGAAAAAATCCACATTTTTGAGAAGCTATGCCCTTCTTTAAAAACCAGGGAAAGCGAAATCTCTCATTAGAGAAATGGTCTCTATGGTGATAACAAGTACACACTAAGAAAGAAGAAATGCACACTAAGAAAGAAGAAAATTTCCCACGCATCTTAACTCCCAAGCCTCGAGACCCCATTCACTGTTTTAAGTGGTGGATCATGGTCAGTCAGCTAAATGAAAAACAACAATGGAGAAAATCTATGCTTTAAATAAGCAGGATTCAGGTAAAACTACAGGAAGCAGGAAACTGCTGTGTGACGTTCTCTCTCAATGAGAAAGACTCAGCAAGTCTTTATGGCTGATCATATTGGTGTCATTAATCAAATGATCACCAGATAGGAGAAACTCTTGTGCCTATTCTCATAAGACAGACACGAATTCTTCATAAAATCAGACACCTGCATTAAGATTTGACTACACTAGTATGATGACAATCACTTTTAACCAGCTATCTTGCAGAGTATTCAAGTATTTAGCTTCATAACAAGCAGCAGATAAGAAAAAATGTATGAAGTTTTATTTTGTGTTTAGGATGAACTTCAATACACTGTGGTGTATTGAACTAGCAATTCAAATGATGGACTGACTCAATATTTTAAAATTAAATTATATTCACATAGACACCAAATAAACTGATATTCACCCCCTTCTGCCTGAGAAAAATGACCAGTTAGACTGCAAGATAATTTGAATATATGTTGGG